TTATTGTATAATATTTTAGCCATTAAGCCATTAACAAATTACTAGAAACTTAGCGACTTAAAACAATACAAATTTTCTATCTTATGGTTTCTGTTGGTCAAAATTCTGGGCATTGGTTAACTAAATTTTCATATCAGGATTCACATTTGAAAACAACATTTTGAAATCAAAATGTTGGCCAGTGGCTTAATTTTAGGTAAGGCATGTGGCTGTCTTCTAGGCTCAGTCATTGTTGGGTTTCATTTCCTGGTGGTTTTATGACAAAGATCCTGTGTTTTTGCTAATTTTTTGGTGGTGATTACTCTTGGCTCCTAGGGACTTAGGTCCTTGCCAAAACCCCCATCTTCTTACAACACTACAGACTACTCCTTTAAGTCCAGTTAGAGAATTTCTCATACTTTAGACTTTATTTCATAAAGGGACCAGCCTATTTTAAGGGTCCATGTGATTAGGCCAGGTGTACCCATGGTAATCTCAAACATGATTAACTGAATATCAACTATTTGGGGGATCTTAATTATGTCTATAAAATTCCTTCATCATTGTCCTATAACAACCTAATCAGGGGAATGAATCCATAATATTCAATTCGTTGTCCTGCTCACAATCATTATTAAGTAGATTGTATATGAGAATTTTCAATCAGAAATAAATAAGCTGGAACAAGAAAAATTGATCATTTTAAAGTCACCAACTGTTAAAGATTGTTAGTTTTCTTGTAAGGCAAAATCGAGGAAGTTGGGGTAGAAAGTTTGGTGGCCATCTTAGAATTATGTTTTTCCAGGAGAAACAAGAAATCTGCCCTCTCTGTTTCTTTGTTGGATGAGTTGACAGGGAAAATTGAAAAGCTTTGCGTACAAAAATCTGTTCTGTCTGTCCTTATCCTTTGTCTCCTTAACCAATGGTAAATCACAACTGGAAATAGTTATAAAGTGGGTTTTTATGAGGTCTAGCAGGTCTTGAGTAAATGAGATTGAATTCTGCTTTTTGATTTGCCCTTTTTCTTGAGCAACTTTTCTCTCTCCCTCTCCTTTTCATCCCCCCCCAAATATTTCCATCTTCACATTATTTACCATGATAATTGTCAAAACCAAAAAAATATAGCAATAAAGTATACAGAAAATTGTTATCTTGACCTCCTAAGTCCCTCAGTTTTGTTTTGGGAAAACAGCTAGCTGTTATCTTTGGGAGTTGATGACATTAAAATTAACTCAGTTTTTCTTAGTCCAGTGTATCTTATATATTTTTAGTTTTACCATACCACTGCTCATCTTTCAGAATTAAATTTTTAGTCAGTTTGAGTTTACAACAAAGATTTTTAATTGTCCAGTATGAATTTCACATGAAATTGCTTTTCCGATCAGTTATCTGAATAGTATATAAAAATTTTAAAAAGGTAATGTTTTCATTCTTACAGATATATGTATAAAGGTTGATATATGTATATCTAAGTAACATATAACTAATTATATATCTAAGTAACATATAATTAAGAGGTTCTTCACATATAGCTTACTTTGATGGTGGTCTAGAGCAAAACCTCTGGGTTTCCATACAATTTAAGAAAGTTCTGTAACTCATTTTTCCTGAAGAATATCACTGTGTTCCCACTGCATATTCTCCTATGGATGGAAGAGGTGAATGAGAGGAGGACAGAGAATAGAGGGCTATATATATAAGATTATTGAATTTACTGATACCACCCATTTCTAATGAAGTTTTTTAAGGTCAAAGCTTGCTCTGTATTTGTATTAAAAAAGTACTAGAATTCAATGAAATGAAAATTAGCATCTAGTTATAAATTTTGAATTTGACATAAGTGTAGGTAATGATCTTGAGATTAAAAAGTTAGCAAGCCAGTGAACTTTTGAAGAGCAATAATAACTGCAGAAATTGAGCCTTCTTTTTGCGCTCCCTTTGAGATGCTCGCTTCTTTTTTGTGACATTCACCTCTTCTGTTTTGATAAAGGTAGTGAGCAAAACAGAAAAAAATGTGTCTTAGAGGACTCACTTGAACCAAGAATTTTGATAAGCAATCAGATCTTTACTGGACTGCATGTGATAGCATGCAAAAAAATATTATAGAAAGTGCTTTGGAAGTACCTAAAGTGGCTACTTTAGTCAGGCTGAAAAATGAAAGAATACTTCCTTGGAAAGGCATTGTCAACTCAAAATTAAAGGATAGATAGGAACTAGAAGAACTATGGGTAGTTTCAAGCAAGAGAATCTTTATAGGAAGGAGAAGCTGACTGGCAAGCTCAAACCAGGAGGAATGGTGTTATAGACAATTATAGACAGGGCAGTGAAAGGTAGAGTGATAAGGTTGATGCTGTAGTTAAGGAGTTTGAACTCTGTTCTAACATGAATGTATGTGAACTAGTTAAGTCTTCAAAATAGGGATATCCTGTGATCAATTATATTTGCATTTGAGAATGTCAGTTTAGAGAAAAGCAGGCCTTCCTTTGAGGCAGAGATTCTTAAGATAGGAGCTAACTAATCCAGGCGGCACAGATGTTGGTAATACTGTACTAGGAAGGTTACTGGAGGTGATGAGTGGTGGTTTAAGAGATGTAGGAAAAAACACTCAAAAGTAATTAGTTCTTTATATTTTTTCTGTTCTCCTTTCCCGTCACTTGTTCTCTCTCATCTGTTGTGTACGGATCATGTTCTCTCCTATCTGTTGCTTCCAGACGTCAGTTTGTTGACTTCTATATCATCATTCCTTGCTTACATAATGTACCTTACTCTGCTCATTCACTTTTTATAAGTCTTATTTTAGGGGTATAGTAATTAACATTTAGTAAAAGGTACATAATTTAAGTTCAGTGAGTTCAGAGAAGTTCTAAGAAGTATAGATTATTGTGCAACAAGCACTACAGTAAAAACTCTCCATATAATTGCTTTGCACCTCTCACCCTATGTCCCTGGCTTAAATAATGACTGGTCTATTTTTTATCACAGTGTATTATATTTTTCATTGATAGAGTGTCATATGAATGCTGATCAAACACTATTCATTTATGTCTGACTTTAGTGTTTTTCTGTGTGTATTACTAGACTATTCCTTTTTTACTGGCAAATAGTAATTTATGGTATACCACAATTTGTTTATCCATTCATCTTTGATCTGTCCCTTGGCTTTTCTGATGTCTTTTTAAAATAAGTCTCTTTTTTCCCCTAACTGGACATAGGATTACAATTTTGTTAAAATGCCTTGTTAAATCATTGATATTTATTGACTAGTTTTCTTGGTTTCTTTTTCTTTTTTTTTAGTTTATTAGTTTAGTTTTTTTTTTATCAGTTTTATTAGTTCTTTTTTCCTTCAGAGTTAAAAGTGACCAAATCCATTTAATATCTCAAAAGAGAACAAGTACTTTTTTTTTTTTTTTTAAGATTTATTTATTTATGCATACAGAACTGGGGTACAGGCCAGAGGCTGGGGCGGTGAGAGGCTTCACCAGAGACAGAGTGGGGAATAGAACAGGCAGATCGACAAAGTACACTGCTGAGGGGAGCAGCGGGTGGGTCAGGAGAGGTCTGCCACACCATGTGGTCACCTCCGGGGCAGGCGGGAATCGAACTCATGCGGAAGTGGCTTTAGCTTCTCAATGCAGTGCTTTAACCCGCTGCGCCACCAGGGAGGGCCAAGAGAACAAGTACTTTTACAAGGAACTACCTTGATTTATATTTTTATGTTCAGGTTTCATATGAGCTTGGAAAAAGAAGTCTTTATGATACTGTTTGTCATCTTAAGTGATTTCTTGTACCTTTTCATCTATTCTTTTTATGAAGAAAGCAGTTAAAGATCTCTAGCAAATAAATGTCCATTAGGACAAACCAGCTTTAAAGCCAGACTTACGGCATAGTTTAAATTTTTTTTTAATGAAAGATAAAATTTTTTTTAATGAAAGATAACTGTTTCCTTTATATTATGTCATTTTTCTGTGTACTTCCATTAGATGTCACTAAATGACCAGTCTATACAATAAGAGAGTTAAGAAAGATTGTGCAAGAGAAAAACTAGTCAAGAATTACAGCTATTTCTAGCTTAACCACAAACAGATTGAATGAGTAATAGCCATCTCATAGTTATTTGATACTACATAATGACCTTTCTATAGTAACATCTTTTATTTTTAGAAATTCCTCATAGACATTTTTGATATGACAGGGAAATATAGAAATGTCAGTTTTATGTTTCCAAAGATCTACTGTGCCTTTTGTAAACTTATTTCATTTATATTTTGGTAGTGAAGATAAAGAGAGCAAGAAGATAATGCTTCCATTAAAGTGATCAAGCTACACATATAGAAATTGGGCGGGAAGATGTGTGAAAAGGCTTTTAGATGAAATCTGTTTCTGTATAAATTGCCTCTACTGCATATAATTGCCCTTAATGTTTTGGTTAATTCAACAAGTACAGCATTGGAAATTGTTTGTGCATACTGATATTAAGGAAGGACATATATAAATTGCTTTGTGATAAGTCCATCTGCTGCTCAACTCTTACTTTGCATTAATTCATTCTTTTCCTTCCCAGCCTTCTGTTTTCTTAAACTGTTAATTATAACTTTAATTACTTTTTGCTATTTCAACTGTTTTCCATTCTTAGAAGTTTTTATACTTAAAAACAGACTCATTTGTGCTCACCCACCTGTTAATTAAAACAGTGTGTTATCATGCTTCAGAGCCTCAGTACTGCAGTGTTAACACTAAGAGCTAATTATCACAAATCTTAATTATTTTCAAATACTTTGATTTTATCTGAGTACTTAAAAAATTTTGTCATAAAGTTATTTAAAATCAAACACTTCTGTAGTAAATCCTTTTAGAAATTTTAAAAAAGCAGTACTGCTTTATGCATTATTTTCCTTCACTAACATAATCTTCAAGTACTTCTTTATCTCATAAGTTTGTATTTTTGTTACTTTCCTGGACCTACCAGTTCTTTTTACCTTCTACTTGTATTTTCTTCTGACTTTTCACCTGGCATTCCACAGATTTCCTCCTCTGATGCTCCTCTTCAGCCTTTGGTATCCTCTCCTCTACAGGCTGCTGTTGAGAAAAACAAATTGGAGGTATGGTGGATGCATGAGCTAGTATTTAATAATAAATGAACTTCTTTTCACAGTGTAATACAGTTTGGGAGTACTACTAAGAATAATTGTTTATATGTTGGTTGGTTTCCAGTATTAAATATAGTAAATACAACAATTTCTGTATATTTCTTATGTTATGCATAAGGTTAAAGGACTTCAAGTTACAGTTAATTTCAGAGTGATTTTTTTTTTTAACAAAGTAGATACATCTCAACAAAATAGATTAAGAAGGTATTAGTTTTTGGTTGATGTTTTCATTACTATCCTATAATAAGAGCTTTTAAAATAGTTGCCAGTAAGTTTTTGATCTACTAGGGAAATCTTCTCTTAAAAACTGTTTTCTCTCCATACTTACAATGTCTTTAAACACTTAACCAAGTTTTTTTTTTTTTTTTTTTTTTAGCAACCATCCTACAAATACAGTGTGTGTAGTGTAGAATCATGTATTTAGAACCATCATTATAACTATTAGAATGTGTTTGGTGTAGAGGTGATCAAAGTACATGATACTACCATTATTTTAAAAGTCATCTGTACAGTATTTTAAGGGTTTTAGTTTGACTCAACTTTTGTTGTTGTTGTTGTTATAACTATTTTAATGAACTAATTTGAGCCATTTTTTAAAGTTTTTTCGGTGTCCATTCTTTGGTAATGTTCTGCTAGATAGGGGAGAGAAAGACAAAGATGTAGCCCCTACCTTCAAGAGCTGAGAATCTAATGGAGGAAACAGGCAATTTAAGACTACAGTGTGTGACGTTGTTACCCTGAGTCAGTGGTATGAGGCCACTTAGTCTGATCTCGCCCTCCAAAAACACAGGTAGATAAGCTGTGAATACACCAGTTGTTGTTTACTGCTTTATCCACCGAGGATGGGCTTATAAGAAGAACAGGAGTAGCAGCCTCTAAGCCAGTGGTGGGAATCCTAGCCAATTTGATGTTAGAAGGTGTTTTCAAGATATACCCCCTTAATGGGGGCTGATGAGAAAGGGGGAAGAGATGAGACTTGATATTTTAGCTGCATGGTAGCTTTAGCAGCCTTCAGAAAGCCTCAACCTTTTTAACTGACCAGAAACCTCAGCATTTTAATTGGTCAAAAGCCCCAGCAGTTTTAGCTGTCAGCATCTTCACTGCCCTAAGGACCTCAGCAGTTTGATTGCTTGAGACCCCCACAAGTCACCCCGAAGGTCAGTGATTTTTAACTGCTCCAAACCCCAACAGTTAAACTGCCTCCTTGTGGAAAAAAGAAAAAAACTGTCCGCAGAATGGAATATTCAGGGATTTACAGATAGTGATATAGTTGGAATGCATGAAAATGGGAGAAGAAACTTTGTGAGCCTTCTAACGTAGTTTGATCTTTGTTCTGGCATGTTAATGAGTTCTAAGGATAGGAGGGATGACAGAATTTGATTTTCATGTCATAACACTAATGACTATGGAGAGTGAGTTTTGTACTGATCAATGGTGAAAGTCTTTACCTCTTACTCTAATTCATGAATAAAACAATGGGGGGTATGTATTAAAATGGCAGCAAAGAAGTTGTTTTAAGAGAATTTGAAGACAGAATCCATGAAATTAGTAATCGATGGATTATGTATGTGCTTTGGAAAGCTTTGATGATTCCTAGTTTCTGGCTTGAGCATCTGGTAGACAAGGCTGCTCTCCAAGAAGAAAGGATAATAAGCTGAAGGGGAGAAACAGGTTTGAGGGAAAGGAAGGTAGATGAATTAAAAGTTGGTATAGTGAGTATGAGGTAACTGTGGAACATAAGAGTGTTAGAGATTCAGAGTCAGTGAAAGTATATTGAAAGACAGGAGGAAAACTGAGAATGGAAAGCTGGGAGTACTTGAATTTGAACTTGCAGAGCAAGAGTAGTTTATGAGGGGACTGTCCTCTACAGTTTTTGAGATTGATACAATGTTTGGAGGTGAACAAGTGAGAGTGGTTGGAATTTTTAAAGCAGGCCCAGGAAAGGAGAACTCTAGGAGTGTGGGGGTTGCCATGAGCAAGTAGAAAGAAGTTTGTCAAAGGCAGCTTTTAGTATTCAGAATTTGCCTTGGAGCCAACCTTTTTTATCTGGGAATGGTTACTCTTTGAACTGTGTAATTTCTGTCTTCAAGTCTTAGAAAGCAATGGTCCAATTCATTTGTGTTTCCCAGGTCTGATGTCTGTTGCCCAAGGAGTGCTTCAGGGTAGTCCATTTAGAATAACTTTTCAGACTTTTCCCCCTTAATCTTAAAATGTCTGCTTTTATGCATTTTATAATTGCATAATGCAGTGCTATTGTGCTTTATAAAATATACATATGGTTGAGCATATATGACACAATTTTTTTTTAAAGATTTATTTATTTACAAATACAGAACTGGGGTACAGGCCAGAGGTGCAGGGTGGCGAGAGGATTCACCTCCCTGGCCGGAGATCAATCATGTGCAGAAGTGGTTGGCTATAGCTTGATCGCGCTGAGACTTAATCCCTAGAGCCATCAGGGAGGTCCTGATCAAATTTTAAGATAGGCACATAATCAAAAATTTTAGACCAGAGCTTTAATTAAATCAATTAATTATATTTTGATTGTAATGAACTAAATATGTACTTTTCTCAGTCTTAGCAGGACTTAAATATTTTTACCGGGTAGGTAGGAGGCCTTGTTTCACTGTATCATTTGTACATAATAACAACCAACTTTCCGGAATTTGTATTCTGTAATCCACTGGTATATTTTGTTCTTGCTGAGAAAATACTTTAAAACAACTTAGGTTCTTACAGTGTTCTTTGATCTTTTAAAGCTTTTGATTCTATAGATGGGAGCCATCTGTAGGTCAAATTGTGTGATCTGAGTTTGGAACCCATGTTTTTAAACTTACTTCAAAGCCTGTATCATAATACACAGTTGGAATCAGATTAGATTTTGGCCATATTTTGGCAGTATTTTTCCAGTATTCAAGAACATGAATTGTGTTTCCTTTTGTTTAAGCATAGTTACTTTATTTTATTTTATTTAAGATTTATTTATTTATGCATACAGAACTGGGATACAGTCCAGAGGTGCAGGTGCAGTGAGAGGATTCACCAGAGACTGAGTGGGGAGCAGAACAGGCAGATCGGCGAAGTACACTGCTGAGGAGAGCAGCGGGTGGGTCATGAGAGGTCTGCTGTGCCATGTGGGTCATTTCCCTACCCTGGATTGAATTTATGCTGATGTGGCTGCAGCTAGCTTTGTAGTGCTGTACTTTAACCTGTTGGAACCACCAGGGAGGGCCCCATAGTTTATTTTTGGTAATTTTGTATGTGCTCATTAATCAGTGATTAGAAAATTAAGCTCCTTCCCACTCTGTGATACTGGTTTCCTTGAATAATAACTTACACCTCTGAGAGGTTATGAATCAACTCATCCCCAACATATTAGTGAGAATGTGCAGTCACATTGCTTTCCTCACCAAACTACAATATCTAGACAACAGTCTATAGTATGAAAAGATTTCTGCACAACTCATTTATTTGTCACTTATAGAGTAGGAATAATATTACTTACAAAACTTTTATGGGGACTTAATGAGTTGAAACAGTGTCTGATACATGCTAACAGTTCTGTAATTATTAGCTGTTGTAAAGAAGAATAGCAACAATAATAAATAGCAAAGCTCCACTGGCCAGTACTTAGTGAGCATTGAGAATTTGTGCTCTGTAGTCCCAGCCTTACCACTGATAGCTGTGTTACTTTTTGAGTTTATTTTCTACAGGATTTTTCTTCTTCATGTGTAAAATGACAATAGTAACTTTCCCCCTTCAGCATTATTGTAAAAACTAGGTTGGACAATGAAATGCTTACCACATGACTTTGACCAAAAGGGGCTTTCATTATGTCTCTTACTTTATGGTCTAGGAATTGCCAGTATTATTTTTCTTGATTTACAAATAGAAAATTCTGTTCTTGAGAGAGGTCAAGTTTAATAAATGCAATCTTCATGTATTGTGACTGAGTTTTGTTTGTCTGCTATTGTGCCTTTCCTAAAGATTAATTGGTTTATCTTTTTGTGTTTGCTGCTAGGCACTTAAAGCCTAGATCCATTGTATCAGTCATCTAGTTCTAGGTTTCTGATCATCTCTTGCCTCTTAAGTGCCTTACGAATCCTCTTTACTTAAATTTTCTTTTTTTTTTTAGGATGCTTAAGTTCTTATATTCTGTTTCATCCTTTGAAATGTAAATTGTGACCACCATAATACCATTATAGTTTACTTAGACTGACTTGAATTAAATATACAAGTCAAATGGATCTTGTTCCCAAACATATTCTTAGTTTTTTCATAAAAAAAAGTTTATATTTGTCTTTTGTAAAAGCATACACTGTTTGTGGACTGAAATGTTTTATGGTATTTAAAAAATTAAAGTGATTTTAATTTTACCCTTCTACCCTACTGTTTATTTGTTTACATGTTATAATCTATCTTAAGTCTATATAAGGCATTCTGTTCCATCAGTTGGTTTGCTTTGCCTTCTTGTTGAAATTTCAACTTTATGGTTACTGTTAGGAAGTTTAACCTTATGTAAAGATACAGTGAGAATTTATAGACTAGAGAATTTAGATACTATTATGTAAAACTAATAGACAAACTAACAAAACATTCTAAGCTATAGAAGTTTTGAGTTGTCTCACATCTGTCCTGGTTTTTAAGAAAAGATGTTTATTATGTTGTCAGTGTAAAACCTCAGCGAACATACGAATTGGCTGTTTACAGTCATATCAATATCAGTGGATATTGTCATCAAATACTTGTATCATTTTCAGATAATGCTGCAAACTAATAAAATGTTTTAAAAGCTGACATTTTTTTAAAGAGTAAACTTACAAAAATTCTGGGCTATGTTTTAGAAAGAAAAGGAAAAAAAAAAGGAAGAGAAGAAAAGAGAAAAGGAGCCAGAAAAGCCTGCAAAACCTCTTACAACTGAAAAGGTAAAATTCCATTTTTTTAATCTATAAAGATTACAGTCTTATTTGTATACTTATTTGGGAATGACATTTGGGATATTCATAAGCACATAATTGTTCTTTCAACAGTATTCACTGAATGAATCTTGTGCTAAGTATGTCTTGTATGATTTGTAGTTTCTTACATATGAATGCACATAGATCCTGAGAGTTATTTAAGGAGAAGCATTCTTGTATTAATCATATAAAGAATGCTATTTTTGACTTTGATGTACAGACACCAGTGTAGAAAATGAAGAGGTCGTACCTGACAAGGCCTTCTGAAAATATTTCATGCTTAAAGTTAGCAGTTGAGCTAGGTTTTGAAGTATAGATAGGATTATGGTAGAAGGCAGGAGTAAGTAGATCAATTGAAAACATTCTGAGGACAGGCATGAAAGTTGGAAATAGATGAATTATATTTAGAAAATGTGATTAGTAGAGAAAAGTATGTGTAAGTAACTTAAAGTAGTGAAAGTTAAGACCAGCATGTAGATTGAACTCACCTTAAGTTCCAGGTTGATGCTTCTTTGGAAACAAAAGACTGTAGGTTGCATTTCAAATTCTTTAAGAAAATGATACACTTACTTCACAAGGGTCCTTTTGGAAGATTATTTTGACAGTGATATCCAGGATAGATTGATTAGGAAAACTAGAGGTAAGAATAATATTAGATATGCGCCCTCCCTTGTAGTGCAGCGGGTTAAAAGCACAGCACTAAGAAGCTAAAGCCACTTCAGCATGAGTTCGATCCCTACCTGCCCCGGAGGTGATCCACATGGCACGGCAGACCTCTCCTGACCCGCCCACTGCTCCCCTCAGCATTATACTTCATCAGTCTGCCTGTTCTGCTCCTCACTCTGTATCTGGTGAATCCTCTCAACGCTCTTGCATCTCTAGCCTGTACCTCAGCTCTGTATGCATAAATAAGTAAGTCTTAAAAAAAAAAAAGAATATTAGATCTTTGTAAAGAGATTAGTTAAATAACTATGGCAGCTTGGCTTTGATTCAATTTAATAAGGGAATTGTTAGTGAAGGGAGCATCATTGATTTTGATTACTCAAATATTGCATCATTGATTTTGATTACTGAAATAGTACAAACTTTATTGAGGCATAAATTACTTACTACAAAGTACAGCTAAAATTTAGTGTGTAACACAAATATATACTGGTTCTTTATCATTTGTTGGAACAATGTTTCTACTCTTAGGATTGACTACATGTGCCATTGACCCATTGATGTTTTTCATCTCATGAAAAATAAACTGTATTACTAATTTATTAAATGTTATTACTAATTTATTAAATGTTAAAGACATAATATTTGCTCAGTTGAAGTCTTAAAAATTATTTATTTGAAATAGTTTTGGTTTCTTTGAATATTACTGTTTGGTTAGTAGTAGTAATAGTGTACTGAAGTAAATGAAATTTAGATGCTTAATATATTACTTTTAAAAAGGGACCAATTAAGTTGATAATTATCATTTGATTACTTAAGTAACAAATTCCTATCTGGTAACTTTCTCTCTAGTATGCATCAATAAGAAGATACAAGTGAAATGTCTTTAAATTATTATAAAGGAATTTAAAAAACAATAGGTTTCTTTTGTTTCCAAAAGTTGGAAAGAGCAGTATGGAGAGCTTGAATGAAGACACTAATAGTAATTATGAGATGAAAAACTTCAATGGGTCAGTGTACATGTATGCATCCTAAGTATTTACTATGCACAAGAAATTAATAAAAATGTGAAAAACTGGGTCCTCCCTGGTGGCATAACAAGTTAAATAAAGTCCAGCATTACAAACAAGTTATTGTCTCCAGTGTAAGTTCAATCCCCAGCCATGGAGGTGCCCCACCTGCCAGGCAGACCTCTTATCTGCACACTGCTCCTCTTAGCATTGTACTTTGTCTGTTTGCCTGTTCTGATCCCTACTCTGTTTCTGGTGAATCCTCTTACCACCCCTGCATTTCTGGCCTGTATCCCAGTTCTGTATGCATAAATAAATAAATCTTTAAAGTAAAATGACTTCTACAAACAACTTTCCATAGTGGTTGGACCAATTTGCATTTCCACCAGCAGTGTAAGAGAATTCCTGCTTGTCCACATCCTTGTCAGCACTTGTTAATTTTTTGATGTGGGCCATTCTTACTGGTATATGGTAGTATCTCTTAGTTTTGATTTGCATTACCCTATCTGTGATGTTGAACATTTTTTCATATACCTGTTGGTATTTGCATTTCCTTTTTTTTTAGCTCTTTGCCCATTTTTTGACTAGATTGTTTTCTTTGTTGAGTCCTATGAACTCTTTGTAGATCTTTGTGTTCAATCCCTTACCAGTTACATTTCTTTAGGATATATTTAGGAATGGATTGCAGGGTCATATAAAGTTTGTGTATCTTTAACTTTCCCCCCAGTGTATACCTGCTGTATTTTACATTCTTTATAGCACATTCATTATATTATCAGAGATTTGTAGGCTAGTGGATATGTGATATGTTTTCTACGTCCATTTTCTAGATTACTAAATAATCTGAGTGCCTTTTCATATGTTTATTCCCATCTAGATTTCTTTTGCCTGATTCTAAAGAGCTCTGTGTTTATGTGTGTGTATTTTGATTTTATATTTGTGCCTTTAGGTACCTTTTTGTTGTAGTTATTACTCCTCTTGTATATCTTACATTTTTTTAAATGAAGTGTTTAAGGATTCCTAAAAAAAACTGCATTTATATAGAATCCTGCCCCATACTTTCCTCACTGTTGAGTTAATAACTTACACTGATTTGTTAGCATCTGGTAAGAGCTTCCCTCTATAAACTTGTTTTTCTTGAGCAGTCTTACTGTTATTTAAATTATCACTAAAGTTTACATATTTGTGTTGTGCCAGTGTTTATTAATAATGGAGTTAGCTGGAATGAGGTGTTTTTTTTTTTTGAATGAGGTTTATTTTTATCTAGGTGAAGGGAAGTAAAACTTAAAAATTTAATGAATCAAGATTAATGTAGCAGATACTTTTGACATTTAAAAAAACGTATTTTAGATATTCACCTAGAAGTTTTTGATGAATTATAAAGTATTCTGACATGTTTGACATTTCTGGTTCACTTAGTTTAATTTTATCTACTAGATTTTCTCCCAAGTAGCCCATGAGCTATTTATGAGTTCTCTTTCAGTTTAAACAAACATCGTTATTTCTCCTTTAGAAAGCTATAAGCTTTACATAGTTTCTTAAAAGCGTGCATCTCAGAACATGGAAAGTGATCACTGTGTGTTTCACTGTGTGTTTTACTACTCAGAATAATTAAAGATTAATGTATTTTCTTAATTATGTAAAATTTCTTAATATAAAAATTTGCTATATTGTTTTTACTTTGCTTTCCCTATTTGTCCTTCTACATCCCTATTCCCAAAATAAAAACTGATACAGAAGGACTTGTACCTTAAGTCCTAAAGTTGTAGTGTTCTAGTTGTATTAACATGTTATCTCTATGCCTATTTAACATTTTCATATGTTTCTAAATGCATAAAAATGGTAAAAAAAAAAAGTTCAAAATCTATTTAACTTATAAATGATTCCTTTAAATTCTTTACCTCTTAACTCATTTGGTGACATTTGAGTTACCAAAATCCTGAAAAGTAGAAAATGTACAGTGATTCTACTACTTGTTCCACTCACAAGTGACGGATCCTTGTTCTGTTTTTTGTTTTTATAAAGATTTATTTATTTATTCGTACAGAACTGGGATAATGGCCAGAAATGTAGGGGTGGTAAGAGGATTCACCAGAGACAGAGTAGGGAGCAGGACAGGCAGATCAATGAAGTGCACTGCTCAGGAGAGCAGCAGGAGAGACAGGAGAGGTCTGCCATGCCATGTGGGTCTCCTCCTGGGGCTATGGCCAGCTTGCAGTGCTGTGCCCCAACCCGTTGTATCACTAGGGAGGACCTGGATCCTTGTTCTGTTTTTAAAAAGTATCCACTTCTGTAAGAAACCCATAACCTTATGAATTCCAGATCTCCTGATTTGTCACCAAAAGATGACTGCTTCTATTATATCACTGTTTTTTAGAGTTTTCTTTTGTCTATATTATGGCTTGCTGCTATCATCCCTATATTAAATGCTGTTGATCTGGAGAAATAAATAGCAAATCTCTTTCACAGTAGCTAAGATAAGCATTCTTAAGGTGTTGCTCCAAAAGCCCCAGAGTGACTTTTTATTTGTAGATTATAAAAACAAGTCTCATCACATCCTCCTATAAAGAGCTGGGGAATCTTATGAGGACATTGATAGCAGGGAATATTAATAACCTTGTTGAGACCACTACTCATTCTTTGGCTTTTTTTCTCTTTGCCCTATACTCTCCAGACCTTTTGTCATTGACTTTCCACTTAGATTCATAGATTACACAATATTGATCAAATGTTATTAGAGCCTTCAAGTATGCACTCCAGCATACTATAAGTTGTTATAACTGAGTAGATGTTACTGTTCTAGCCACTGTGATATTCTGGTTGCTTTAAGTGTGAGGCCGATAAAAGTTATCTTTAAAAGGTACTTGGGCTGATAGCTTAGTTGTGTTGAAGTAGATTGCAGCCAAGTAGATGGGTATGTGTGTATGAGTGTATGCATTAAAAGATACACTGAAAATTTTCTGGGAGGAAATATTTGAATTGAATGCATCAATTACTAGGAATCCTGTGGAGGTAGTTACATTAGATATGAACTTTGAAAGATTTTTAGTCAGGATGATGGGAGGGCAAAATGTGGAGGGAATAGCATGAAAAAATGATTAAAATTACGAGGTGCATTTTAACAATAATGTAGAATACAATTTAACTACAGTGTGGTACAATAATGGATCTATAAGAAAGTGATATTGAGAGAACTTTAAATTTCATGATAAACAGTGCATCTTATTTTGAGTAGGGCAGTATTTTGGTTTGAGCAATGCGTTATGATATCTAGAGTGTAATATGTGAATGTAT